ACCATTGTTTGTGGATGTGTTGCACTGTTCTTGCTTGATGCGTTAAGTAAGAAGAACAAGGAGATTAAGACTAAGGAGTAGAAATCAGAAAGAAGGGCAAGGAATGTGAGAACAGTGGGAATCATACTCGATCATTGTGATTTTCTTTTCCTTTTTCTAAAATAAAATATAAATGACTAAATGGTGAATATGATCTCTTCCAAGGACRACGTATATTGCAATTGATAACATCAAGTRGATTTTCATGAAGTCTTTACAAGTACTTGTGATAGAATAAGTACTTAGTTTCGCTTCTTTTTTTTATCTCTCTCTCTTGTTTTTATTTTCACCAGTTAATATCTCTAGATCTATTAAGTACTTTATAGAGAAGAWTACTATTTTGAAAGTTTTATATCTATGAAATTCACATAAGAATAGATTGATAAGAAAAACACGCACGTATGCGTGGGCATTGGTCTAGTTATACATAAATAATAGTGAACTATTTGTGAATATAACAARTATAATGGATTTTTTTAATAAAATTAGAGAAATTTTGAGAAATGTCACTTTTCAAAGTTTTTGCAAAAATACCATTTTTTTAAAATTATTTATTCATTATCTCATATATGTTTGGGTTAATTATGTTGTATTGTGGTTTAGTTTTAAGAGTTTTGGGGTTTTGGGGATCAAAACATTTTTAGGATTTAGAAATTTTAAGATTTAGGCTTTAAAAATCCATAATTAGTGGCATTTTTGCAAATCGACAATCCATAGTGGCATTTTTACAAATGTACATGCCAAAAGTGGTATTTTTGCAATTGTCTCATAAAATTAAGTATATAGCTAACTACATATRGATATATAACCAACTATATTTAAATGTAGTTATTTATATTTTTTAATTATATAGATAATAATGAACTATTCGTGAATATAACTAGTATAGTTGACTGTTTGTAAAAATAATTATTTATATAGAGAACTATATTTGGATATATAGTTAACTATACATAGATATATAACTAACTATATTTAAATAGAGTTATTTGTATRTCTAATTATATATTCACTATATTTGCTTTA